CCGATAAGCGGTTGCCTTTTGACATATGCTGTTTTTGTGCTAAAATTATTATTTCCTTAGGCAATTATTATGCAATTTTCCTCTTGCTGTGAAAAATTTAACGCAAATATATTTTTTCAAAAAGAAAAAAATATATATATATATACATATACATAAATATAGCATTTATAAACTTATAGCCGTATAGCTTTTAGTTTAAAACACACAAAATTCTGATTCGAACTTAATTAATTCAGTGTTTGTAGAAAATTTCATATTAATTTATTTGCGTAAATAAAAATTTTATATATTTTTATAATTTATGCAGTGATTATATATCTGCATACACCCATATTTCTCTATGCAATACTTTGCTAAATTCACCGTATTTACCGAATAAAAATTGCTTCAATTAGCAAAAGTAAATACCCAAATAACATTCGAAAAGTGAGGAGTGTGTGTGCCTAATGTGGCGACGCATATAAATACTTTAATTATTTTTGCATTTGTTTACACACATGTAGTCGTATATATGTATGTATTGTACATATGTCACACTTAGTTCTATACATATATGAATGTCAACTCATATTTGGCGACAAAGCAAAAAATGCTAGATATGTGACTGAATATGTTTGTTTTGCTCAAATAAATAGCATATATGTCATTATTCATATGTGTGCGTGAAAGCGTTTTATTTGCCACCATTTATTTAAATCATGCCAACACGCTGTTGCTTATTTATATTCAAGTGTTTATAGTAGCATCTAAATGGTATATATGCATATATGTAAATTGCTTGTAAATATGTAAATTTGTAGCTGAAATATATGCGCATTTGCTTATATGGACCATTTCTATGCCTAAATAGCGGTGTTATATTTCAAGTTGAAGTGGCGCATTTACATACACATAAAAAAATACTTACACATACGAATTTTTGTGGACAAAAAATTATTTTTTAAGTAAATACGGTATATGCGCGTGGAAAATTAGTTCAAATAGAGAAAAAGTCGATTTTAGTCAAAATTGAGGGAAGAAGAATTCACGAAAAGAGATGCAGTTTTTTCTGCTTATAATATTTATTAAATTTTGTCTGCGGTAAATATATTCACTCCGATAATTTTGCAGTTGTTGACGTGCAGACATATTAATTTATTAAACCCTTCTTTTTGAAAATTTGGGAGAATAAGAATAAGAAAATATGAATATGTTCTCGCGAAATATTATTTAAGCTCGTTTCCTAGCAAAAAAAAAAATATATATAATATATATGAAACTATATAGTGCGTAAAAAATTTTCTTCTCAGTATTTTAAACATAACATATATAAAATAACGTCGGTATGCTGAATTAATAGCTTATGTGACATTTATATATTTGAAAGAAGGTAACGTTAAACTCATTAAACAATTATTAAAGCGAAATAATGAGATTTAATAACAAATATCTCAGTAAGTTTGACTTTAGGAATTATATCCATTTGAAAGTCAGAAAAAACGCGTTTTTCTTGAATTTAAGGTGTTATATTTAACAATTAAATAAAAATAATATAAATTTACAGAATTAGATATACAAGTATGTACTTTAAAAATCGGTGATTAATTTTGAAAAATTTTCAATTTGTGTGATCCCGTAGCTGATCTCCAGGAAGGCCTCCTAAAAAAGTTGTCTGTTGGTGGGGAAGATTCGTATGGTTAAAATTATATCAAATCGACGGACAAAAAGAAATAGTTAAAACAATATATATAGTGAAAAAAGAACTAGGGTACTAGTTATTTGCCGGATCAACTAGAAATTTTCGTAGAATATTTTAATATGTATTTTCATTCCATATATGTACATTTAAGCAAATAAATTCGATTTTCTGAACTTCACAACTGGTTATAATCCCTTTATATTACAAGATTTTCGTTTCAAGTTTATAACATGCGCCAACTGAACTGTTTACTGAAATCAGAAAATTTCACAAGTTCGTTTAAAGGTCGTGCCGCATTCCATATTAGATCTCAACATTAAAATTACTAAGAGGACTAAAAATATGTGTCAATGAATATGAGTAGCAGCGACTAAAAAATATCGTAAATATGTAGAAACAACTGATTGAACATCACGCATTAATAGAGCACTATGTACGAGTATAACAATTAATTTCATTAATATGTTACGTATACGCCACGTTGATCTTTATTAGGTTTGATAGAGCACACAGTACATATATTTCAAATAAGCGTGTTATTTGTAAAGAAAATATGTTTTCACACCAACGTCGATCTAATAAAGCCGCTATTTTACTTTGGAATGCTTTTCTTAAATATTTCTTAATGAGCGTAGTTATTAGAGCTTCTACTACCACATGTTATGGCAATCGGATGGATTTACTTCCACAAATCCAGTATGAGGCTTCATTGGTAGCACTCAACACTATGTAAAAGTTAAAACAACTTTTCTTTCTCATGGAATAAGGATAGGCTTTAATAGATGAAATAACTCCACTCCAGATCTCTTCTTTTCAAAAAAGATTAAAAAAACTGAAGAGTAATCGAAGAGTTGTTAAAAAGCGAATTAACAGAAATATTTTAAACTTTATTTCATTAGAATAAAAAATTTTCAACAATTTTAAATTTTTGTTCCACAAAATTGATATAAATAATTAACAGTTCAAAAGTTTTGGGAAAAGCTGATTGAATATAAAGAAATAATTAATTTATTGAATTTTTTTAGCTCATTAATTATTAAAATTAAAATTAAAATAAATTAAAATTTTAATAATCATTGTGGTTGTTGCTTTGGTTTCTGCTGTTGATTTCATTAGAACATATTTCGCTTGTTAACAACCATTAAAATGTTGCAATTAATTATGTTGTTTTACTCCCTGCAGCGCGTAAAATGCCGCTAAAAGTCAAATATTGTAAAAGTTGTTCAAGTGGTTAAAGTGGGAAAAATTATTAATTGTTTAATTTAGCTTTTATTGCATTTTGTCATTTTCTTTAGCTTTGTACTTGGTTATTTGTGTTGGGCTCCCCGGGCTGCAGCAATGTCATAGCAGCGCTTTTGTAATTAATTTGATTTACTTTTTAATTGCTGTTGAGTGGCTGAAAGGGTGCAAAAGCCGATGTCGGCTGCATACGAGTATAGACATATAGAAAAATGGTAGAAAAAAGTGAAAGAATTGACTGCAGATCAAGAGAAGGCGGCAACAAGTTTTGCAAAATGAATATAATATTTGGGATAATACAATTACAAAAGGGAAACAAAACTGTAGAATATAAAGACAAAAAGTTATGAAAAACCAGAAAAAATGGTAGCCTCGGTTGCAACGAAGCTATAATACCCATCACAGATACAAAGCTTCCTTACAATAACTTGATTCCGATCCAATTTCGTGAAGATACATGGTCAAATGAAAGAGTTTTCCATACAAGCACTTGACTTCGATTATTTAGTTTGAATGGCAGATATATGTTATAGTAATCTGATCAGTACAGAGATTACAATGTTGCCTTAGGAAGTAACTCATGCCAAATTTCGTGAAGATATTACGTCAAATAAAAAAGTTACCCATACAAGCACTTGATTTCGATTGTTCAGTTTGTATGGCAGCTATATACTATAGTGGTCCGATATCGGCCGTTTCAGCAAATCAGCAGCTTCTTAGTGAGGAAAGGACAGGTGCAAAATTTTCAATAGCTTAAAAACTAAGGGACTAGTTCGCATATATATAGGCAGACAGACGGACATGGCTTAATCAACTCAGCTCATCATGCTGATCATTTATACATACATACAACTATATGTATTTTATAGGGTCTCTGACGTTTCTTTCTGGGTGTTACAAACTTCGTGGGAAACTTAATATACCCTGTTCAGGATATAAAAAGAAGAAGAGTTTTAAGAAATAAAGAAGTAAGGGAGAGCTAAATTTGTGCGTGAGCGAATGTGGAAAACTCTTGCACTTGTGAGAAATATCTATGGGATTATTCAAGACTATCTCAAAACGTAATTGTAAAAATGCTGCCATTAATTCAAAATTCGTTACTGGTTAAAATTTGAGCAGAATGAGTTTACTTTTGCACCAAATCAATATTCTTTTTTAGTAGTCTCATGCCCATTTATGATTCTACAGTATATTGCCCAGTATCAGAAATATCTGCTCCAAAAATGCCCATAGTCAAAAGTTTCTTTTGATCGCAATTTCGTACAGCAATTTTAGGGTTCCGACATCGGTATTCAAAAATTATTCACTTAGAGTAGTTTGCAAAAGTACCGCTATATGACAGTTAGGTGTGGTTTCTACTCAATTTGCAACTGTGTTTTCAATATCGAAGGTTTTCAGTAAATTCTAATGAGATAAATCTAATACCTTATGATATATATACATTAAGAGAGCGAAACCTCATCCAATTTTGAGGGATTTTCAATTGTATCAAACTCAAGTTTTATAGCAGTTTAAATGTATTTGAATTTAACAGTTCTATGGGCGTGGCAATTTAACATTTCCGCCCATTTACAAAATCAACTGTGCGTCAAATTTCATTTTTCATCAAAAGGCATCGCGACTCTTTAACTATCTCATGCAGTTTGCGATGTCACAAACAACCGTTAGATGCACAAAGCAATAATACCCTTGTGCATCATGTTACCAGAGTGAAAAAGAGTTAAAAACAGCGCATTTCGCGAACGGCTGGAAAGTTTTAATTAGCGCTGGGGCGTATTATATACTTTGAGCGACGTTAATGTGCTGTCCCAGCGCACAGCCAATGCAATTTGTTGGCCGCGAAATGCAAGTAAAAATTCAACGCCACAACGACAAAGTGCTGACAGTGTCTAAATGGCTCTAGAGACCGCACTGCCAAAGCGAATATCCAGCAGTCTATGTGAACATTGCACTACCAGGCAGCTACCGCGCTTATATAAAGTGACTACAAAACACGTATATACACACGCACTCATACACAGCTACATGCACACTCTCTCAAAGTTATTTAGGCATTTACATATCTGTAGTTAGCACTACTCACTCAGCTTTAGGTAGCATTGCATGAGGAAGGCATCGCCCAGCATGGTGTTTAGCAAACCCATAATGCCCTGCGGGAATTCAGTAATGAGAAAGAGCAACAAAACCGCCAACAGCATGCGCGTCGTGCGATCCGTTTGCTTTTCCTTCTCCAGTGTTTTGCTATTTTTGCGCGGTCGCTGTTCCAACACCTTGCCGTTGACGATGGGCTTCATGCCGTTCGCTGCGTTGCTGGTAAGCATTTTGCGCCGTCGCTTGGCCTCCAACAGCGCCACTATCAGGCGCACGGATAGTATCGTCAGCGCAATGCACGGTATCAGCTTGATGAGTACGCTGTAGATGAGGAAGGTTGAGTTGCGCAGCGATTTATTGTGTAGCGCCAAATCGCTGTGATACAATTTATAGACGGTGATGTTGTGATGCGGCTGTTGCCATGGCGACACGGTTGTGGTAGCCACAGTAGTTAGCGTCGAAGCTGTAGTAACCATTACATCACTCGCATTCCATGACGCGTCATATGTTGTTGCCAAAACGCTACCGTTTGCGGCAGACGCATTTCCAGTTGCCCATGCGGCTGCTGTAACCTGTGCCTGCAACTGCAATTGCTGCGTCTGATTTGCCATCTCATTGTGATAATCGATAATGAATTGCGTCAGCGGTTCCGAGTATATGATTTTTCCATGCTCATCGATGGTTTCGAGAAACTCCACAATGGCGGAGACTAAGTAGAAGGATGGCGACACCACCAATATACACACAATGTACGCCGTGATGATGGTGAATATGGTGGTGCGCATGCCACACCAAATGCTATTCTTTTGCGGATAGCCGACGGCTATGTAACGCCACACCGCCAGCGTGATGGTCAGCCATATGCTAATTGTGTGCAGCACTTGTGCGAATATTGAGTGGAATTTGATGAAGCAAGCCCAGCCGTAGCTGAGACGCTGCTCGCGTGTCAGCCGCTCGGCAAGTATGTAGTCGTGTGTAGTGTAGGGTATATACTCGATCATGACGGCGAGGTCGGCCACTGCGAGCCCGGTGAGTATGGCATTGGTGGGGGAGCGCATCTCCTTGCGTGTCAGCACTATGATGTTGAGTGTGTTCGCTACGGTGCCAAGTATACAGACGATGAGCGATATGTAGCCATGCCAAATTTTGTAGCTGTATTGAAAGAGAATTTAGAGATATAATTATGAAGTGAAGCTATATTGCGGAGTGTGATAATTGGTTTTAAAATAAAATAAAATACAATAAAGTCAAGTGATTTCAAATGATTATATTCGAAAAAAGTAAGGAAGGACTAAGTTCGGGTGTAACCAAACATTTTATAAGAGAAAAAATCAAATCCGGGAAAATACATTCAGGTGTTGGTAATGCTTTATAGTAAACCAGATTTTAGTCTAGGGCAAGTTTTCACTCGGTTTTGCCCATTTTATGCACATATACACCGTTATTAGAAAATCCCGCTCTCCCAATTTTACTAAGATAACTCACATATTTGTCGATATATGCGGTATAAAGTCAGCCGGAAGTTCGAAAATCTTTCTATTGGGTAAATGAGGGCTAAGACAATTATTGCTTCGATTCAACCGATTTTATTCTATCCGAATTTTATATAAAATATCTCACACATTGACCTATTTCCATAAAAAGTTCCAATATAAACTGGGATCCACACGCTCCGGTACATGGGGGCTTGAAGAGTTTTTCTTTTGATTTGGACAATTTTTGGTAATTAGGTGGTCCACCTCAAAGGCACTATTTGATGACTTTAGTTATCTGAAAACGCAAGCGACATGTGAATAATGTTTATGTACCTATGAAAATGACAAGCAAAAACGTCCATGATCGAATACAGGTGAGTTGGCGCAAACGGTGACCAAACCAGGATTGACTATCAGAATGGGTTTTGCTATGTATTTCGTGGGATTGACAGGGCATCATCTACTGTGAGCTGTTTCCGTACAGGAAAAGTATTAATTCAGACGTGTATTGGTGGCCGTTTGGAGTAATCAACCGCTCAAAACAGGATTGTAATCCACCAAAACACGGCCAGACCATACACAACGTTACCGATTCACCGGAAGCCCCCGGGAGCTTGGTTTTGAGGTTCTTATGCACGCATCATATAGGTTGGATATCACCTATAACTTATATACCTGTTCCTATATGTCGCGAATGATTTTAATATTGAAAAATTCGACTTAAGCGAAGCTTTAATAAATGGACTTTCCCAGTTATATTGCCGAGAGGAAAGAGGGTTTTTATGAGAGTAGCATTATGATATTACCTTGACTTAAAAAGAATCATTCTAACTATGCTGTAGGCGCTGTATAATTGTTTCGACTGATATCAGCCTTGTTTGATGATGATGTGTTTATTCTGTTAATTGAAACATCCTTAGGAGAAGTGGATAGCATTTTTAAATATTTTTAAACGAATTTAAGTATTTTTTAGTTCGCCTTATCCTTCCAAAAACAAGTATATTGATTTCATGAGATATAGCACTTTTGGTAACGCATTTTTTGGAATATGCAACCCCCATATTCTTCAGATCTGCGCTATTCACATTTTTTTATATCACAAAAAAGTTTTTGATGAGTGAAAAAAGTTAGCAACAATGAAGAAGTACTTAACTATGTCCTATTTTGAAGTGAAAAGCTACATGTTTACCATAATAGGTGTATTGCGTTAAATGGAAACTATATTGAGGAATGCAATCTTCGATATGCAATGCAAATGCAATTTTCGCAAAAAATATTATTTACTTTGAGGAGGTGTGAACCTTTCAGCTATATTTCATAACTGAGTTGTTTGTTGTAGAGGTATGCAACGTTGAGTAGTTTACCCCTTTTTGAGTTATGATAAAGGAGAAAGCTGAGTCAAAAGATCAAATAGTAGTCTAATTTAATGCGTCTGTGACTATTTGTAGGTCTAATTTGATGAGTTTATCCGCATTCTCAAACGAAAAAGAGCTTTACTTGTTTATGATTTCGTATCATGTTTAGCACATAATTAAATTATTAATATTTTAAGGCCAACTTCGAGCAATTGTTACCGTATCCTACAAACATATATATAACAAAAAAATATATATAGGCACAAAACGCTTTTCAAACCATTCTACAGCAAAAAGTATGTGAAAGTATAATTGGTTTGACAAAGCGGAAAATAATCAATTTTTTTTATTACTTAATGTCTCAAATCATTAATGAAGCAATTATACATCCTCTTGTATCACTGAGTAACATTCCACGTTCACACCCCCATATGCATACTGACGTGTTTAGTGCATATGTGAGCATAATTAATTTAAATGATGCTTCTTACCACGCGTGTGGCGAGTGAACAAACTCCAAATAGCACACCAAGAAAATTTACTCTGACAATGCGCACGCAGCACACACGCACACATGCGCAAAATGAACAAAGCAACCGCTCAGAGATTGCATTAACGCAAACAAGGTAAGAAAATACGAACGCATATACATGTCATAAACAACAGCAACAACACGGCAACAAAGTTTTTATAATGTCAACACATTAATGTAGACATTAAATGCCAACGCACTCACACACCAACAACAACAATAACACAACCGGGCGCGCACAACGTAAGCACATTGCGTGCGTTAACGCAAACGTATAACTACAACAAATACACAGTGAAAGCTCAATGACAATCACTGTGTTTTTCTGTGTGTGCGCCAACACCTACACCAACACACGCTCAATTACATGCATGCAAACACGTTAATGGTTTTTGCCACATCGCGTAGAGAGCGTGTTATGTTAGACGTTGTATTGCGGTGTGTTGAGGTGGGGCCGGAAAGCAATAGAATTGGATTGCTCGGAAGCAATTAACGAACCGCAAATGCGCTTGGCACGGTGTACATGGCGTATACGCAACTCAATATATTTGCAGCACAAAATTAATAAATAAAACAAAATTTGCAGCAGCAACAACAACAGTTAATGGATACATTCGGTTAGTGGTAATAACGCATAACTGCTTGTGCATGTATGTATGTATGGGTGAGTACGGATGCATTCTCATTCATGCAGCTATGACTTAGTCATATGTGTGGAGTGGATTTAGCGCTTATGCCTAAAATAGACACACAATCGCATTTTTGATTAGCTTGTCTTTCCTTGCAACTGCTTTATTGCAGTATTTTTTTCTGAATCCATTTATTTGTACAAAAGCCGTTCAGTTAAGTTATTCGGTTTCTTTGAAAGTAAGTAGAGTTTTATTAGAATTTTCAATATTAGTTTTGAAATAAAATTTTTAAAATTAATAACTATTATTTCTGTTTATAAAATTAAAAACTTTTACTTTAGTACTATTTACCAAGAATTTTCATATTTCCAAAATTTTTCAATATATTTAATCGTATTTGGGGTTTTCCAATACTTTTGGAATCAGTTAAATTTAGAGAGAAATTATTAAGTGAAATAAATGGAAAGCCGATTTTCAAGAAAAAGATATAGAATCTTGTATCTGTATAATTTTATGAAGAAACAAGTTAAGATCTATTGAACTTAACTCAAAATTTGGCTTACGAATAAGATTTGCCCTTTATAATAATTAGTAAGCATTAATTTGTGAGCTGGTATTTGCTATATCTATGATTCATGTCCTCTAAAATTCCAAATCCTATGTATACTAAGACCCCGATTTTTATTTTTCTTTATATTGTACAAGGTCCTAGATTTTCTGTCGCCTGTCAAAGCCATATTTAAGAGGCTGATGCCATAGAAGAGCCTAGTAGTCGCCATTTTGTATCAAAAAGTCAAAATAATATTTTATGTTCCCAAATAAATGTCTAAAAAATACTAAAGAAAAGGTAGTCGCAAAATTTTTCTTTACTTTTAGAATAGATTTTTAAAATTGAGTTCCTTTTGAGCGCTTTACACTGACTTAAGTCCTTATCTAATCTGATCATTCATATATTTTGCCAGGCTACTATATCTTAAACAATGGTTTACAAAACGTTGGTATGGTCAGAGCTAAAAATATACATATCTTTTCATTTAATTGTTAGGAATTAGGCATTTGTAAATTTAAAGTTTTATAACATAGTATATTTTTTTCAAGCATCTATTCAATACCTTTTAAGTGTTTCCTTCAACCAATTATTATTCTAAGCATTACACAACCTTTAGCCTTTTAAATGGGCAATAAAAAAATTGCGTAAATTTAACAAGAGTAGCATTGATTATAAAACCTACCATAATATCTAACAATAAGCTTCCAAATATTTACCTGGTGTGAAAATTATCGAGGCCACTGCCACAGTAAATCGTCTGTGATTCATTGGATGCCATTATGTTGATGTCATTTAATTGTCGATGTTTGTGGAAGCTTCAGTTAACAGCTGTGCTTTGAGGTTGCCACTGTTATTAAATGAGGTTTCGTTGCTGCCTGCAGGTGTGTCTGTTGCATTTAATTTCTATTATAAACTGCAACTACGGTTTTAATTATATCTCAGCATGCAAATTGTGTTGAGAGTCTGTTACGTGCCGTTTTCACAGCGGACACCTGAAAGTATAAGAGAAATATTTGCATGAAATTTAATATCTAACAATAAAAAAGAATAAATATATATATATGAAAGTCTTAAATATATGTGTAATTGTAAACTGTTGTAATTGCGTCTTAAATATATATTATATGATTGTTAGAGTTTTAAGGCAATAAAACTTTAACTTAATTTTATCGGTTACCCGAGTCCTGATGTTTTTAATTCATAAAAATATTTGAGAACGTGGTAACTCTACTCTGAAAGTCATTCAAAGTGTTAATTTTGAACACCTTTATATTAAAAAACACTATATGTTTTTGAACATTTTGCTTTTTCGATATTTGGTTTTGATTTTCTGAGAGTGGTAATTCAGTTCAATAAAATTTTCAATGAAACTGTTTGTATAGACCTTTTTCACTGACAATCAGCTTGATTTTATTGTAAACACAAATTCAGAAAACGTAGCAGCCCTATCCATTTATATATATATATATATATATATATATCAGTCTAGTTTAAAGCAAAGTTTTTCAATATTCAAAACCTTTCATTATTATTTCATTTTGAATTGGCTTAGCTTACACATTTGTGAAAGCTGGCAATCCTACTTATTTTTATTTTTTACGAGACAGCTCCTAAATAAACTTCACCTCTTTTTTAACAAATATCACTGTAAATTACGGTGAATTGAATTGTAAAAGATTACAAACTTGTGAAAGTTGGCAATACTGCATACACATTTTTTCTACGAAACTAGTTTGCTAGATTTTTAACAGTTTTTAACCGAAATTTTTTACATTCACATTTTAAAATTGTTACAAATTTGTGAAGATTGGCAACATTGCTCAAAAGTTTCTTAATATGGTACTGACATGAAGTTAACTTTTCTACTTTTTAAATCTGTTGAACTGGACATGTGATTTTTGTCAGTTTGCAAAATTTTAAACCGGTTTTTCTGGAAATTTTGATTTTGAATTTGATAAAGTTACAAATTTGTGACGTTGGCAACGCTGCAAAAAATTTTATATTATACTTTAAAATAGTTTAAGGTAATTTTGGCGTTTTTTAAACCTATTTTCCTAGAAATGTTTGTTTTAGGTTCATAACCTTTCAAATTCGTGAAAGTTGGCAACACTGCACAAACATTTTATTACATGAGACTGTTCCAAAGTAAATTGTGTTCTATTTTAAACAGTTTCTGCTTCCTATTTTGAGTTTAAATTTATTATAGCATATAATTCTACAAGCAACTCCATTGAAAGCATATTTAGCAATTTTCCTTATTTTCCTTACACTTTCAAATAGCTACTTCAAAGGCGCAGGTAATCTCTAAGTATTAAAAATAATTATTTAACACTCTTATATAAATCTACATTTTTTTGCAAGCTACTAAGCTTATTTTTTTATTATCATATTTTACCGTGCTTCCAACTCAGAGGCATAAAAGCGTAATCGCTGAGAGGTAAAATCTTACATAAGTAGCTTTAAAGCAGATAATAGCAGAGATTTCCATAAAAAGCGCATAGTGATTGAACGACTAATAAAAGAACGTGATTACGGTAATCTGGGAAGTATTTCTATGAACTACTACAATCTACAATTGTCTGTTCTTGAATAGGTTTATGTGATCGAACTCGCAATGACCCAATAAACGTTGAAATGTTGAAATTATCGCTGGCAGGTGGTAAATAGTTGTTGTAGTATGAATAAAGGAACACAATTGTTGAATAAACTACATTGTTGGCGTTGAAATGTTTATTTTTATTTGTGAGAAAATGTCGTGTATTGTGTGAGCTGAGGCGCTTTTTAAAATGGTGGGACATGGCGTATGAGTAACATTGGTGCGAAGAACATGAAAGCATTGCAAAAGGAATTTAAATATTATAAATTTAGCAAAAGTTGGGAAGATATCGTTGTGTACTAGTTTAGATAAGAAAAAAAATTTAATTAATTGTTTATTAAATAAATTTATTTTAAATATGCCTTATTTTATTTATATGGAATATTGATTTTTAATATTTTCTAATTAAATACCACATTAAATGAAACTAAATTTTTCCACTGGCGTGTATTATCATTTATATGCATAAACCAGTATTTATAACGCCTAGATACAATTCAAAATATTATTTGCACAATCTAAATTAGCTGATCTCCATCGAGCGACGCATTGGCACTAAGACGCCTCCTCTTAATATCATCGACAGTTATTATATAAATTTTACTAAAAACTGTTGCTGTTGTTGTTTTATCTACAAAAACATTTTTTCAGCTGTTATCTTACTTTATACGGTGTTTGAATTGCCAATGAAACATGAAAGTAATGTATTATCACTGAGCAAGCAGCGCCGCCTAAACGAGCCGAGTATGAGAGCTGTTGCTATTGACTTTTTGCGCGCTCCTTCGAATTTTTGCAGATATTTTTCTGTTTTTTTTTTCATTTTATTTCTTCAACAATGCAGCGTTGGCAGGATCTTAAGCTGCTTTTTATTTTCTTTGTAACAAGTTTTATTTTATTTTTGTAACTGTGTTTTCTCTTTCGTCGTTGTTTCCTCGCCTGCCTGCTAAGCTCCGGCAGTTTTTGCGCTTCACACGAAAATTTGTTGCGAATCATTGAGTTTCAATGGCAGCAATGATTATCAGCGAAAATATATCAAATTTTATATGCGAATTTAGTCTGCTTTAATGCGATTTCATTAGCATATTTTGTGGCATTAAAAAGTCTAATGCTAAGCGTTGTCGAGAGGTATCGTATTGATTTGATCAGGCTTATGAATTTCTTAAGATTTTGTTTTTTTTTGATTTTGTTCCATTAGGTCAATTTGTTTTTCTTCGTTGTGTTTTGTACGAAACACAAAGAAAATTAGAAGAATAATATTTTAAGTAAAAGGTCGCAATTTTTTATGGAGTACTTACAGATGTGTTCCGTTAACAAGTTTTGTATATTTCTTATTAAATAAAATAACTCAGTTTTCTTTATAAATTTAAATTTTAAATAAAATAAAAAAAAGTAAATTTAATTTTCTGATATTCGTTCGCATTCGAAGATTTCAAAAAAATTTTTAACAAATCACTACAAATTAATTTAATTGGGATACTTTTTCAAAGCAAGAATATTTTTGTTTAGTAAATGCAATATTCTTTGGTAAATCTGTATGATAGCTTTGCTGCAGCCGAAGTTGGTTTCTTATATCTTTTTAAACCAAAAACCCTTAAATGAAATTTGGCAAAATTGTGGATTACAATACAAATCGGTCTTTTAAATTTATTCTCCCTAGTCGTGTAGCTGTCATTTACTGATTTAAGCTTTAATAAATAACAGGGTATTATAGCAATAACAAAGAATTTCTTACCACAAATTGTAATGCAAATAGCAATTGAACTGACACTTCTGCATTTGTGAAATGTGCTAAACACACAATGAAGTAATAAATTCTTATGTCTGTTAAATTAGGTGAAAACTAACTAAGCCGGACAAATACACACACACATACATACACCCAATTACAATTACAAGTGTAAATATCAATAACAATTTATGTATGTGTGTGTAGATAAGTAACTCACATAAATTTTGCTTTGAAATGAAAACACTTTTACACTTCATTAACTGGTGAATATATACAAATACCATACCTCGTATAAATGTATTAGGGTGTATATTATTTCCAAGTTCATTTCTATTTGCCCCCTAAATTTTCAGTTTCTGGCTAAAAAAAATGATCCAATGTAAAAAATTCGTTTTCTCATGTATATAACAATCATAGTAGAATACACCATGTCGTATGAGCAACATATAATTTATAAGCCACTTGTCTGAAGGCTCAGTACATTTGATACACAACTTTAAAGTAATGCTATTGTGCAAAAAACTTGAAAAAACTTTTTTTAGAACGGAATTTTTTTTAAATTAGCCAATTTTAGCCAATTTTGTAAAGATATCTTGCTCAATAAAAAAATTTTCAATACAAGGACATGATTTGATAGGTCAGTTTGTATTGCAGTTATATGCTATAGGGATCCGATATCGGCGGTTCCGACAAATAAACAGCTTATTAGGGAAGCGGAGAACTGTGAAAAATCTCAAACCGATATCTCAAAAACTGAGGGGCTGGATCGCGTATATACAGACAGACAGACGGACATGCCTAAATCGACTCAGCTCGTCTAACGATCGTGTATATATATTTTATAGCGTCTCCGACGTTTCCTTTTGGGTGTTACAAACTTCGTGGCAAACTTAATATACCCTGTAACGGACACCCTAATATTTATACAGTATATGTAGAATATACATATGTATATGTATGCAAGCACAGCACGGAATGTTAACTACACATTTTTAGCAGCGACTCTTGCAAAAGCCACTTAATAATCTGGGCACAACAACAAGCAGCCTTTGTTAGTATATATACATATATTATATACAATATATAAATTTATGTTATATTATATCTAAGTACAAATAACTGTTCGGAAGTAAGAGCCAAAGTAATTAAACTTGAACTTGAACCTAATTTTCTGTCTGAATGCTCAACGGAGTGCAAGGACTTGTCTGTTTGCCGGACACTATTCAGTATTCTACTTAGTTACAACATATATACCTATATATAGTATATATAAATATTAGTATATAACGGCACACACATACATAAACGCTTTTGTTTACCAACCACCACTATTTATCGAGTAATCGCTAGCATTCAGTCAGCCATGGCAAACATCCAAATTAACAGCATTTTTGCTTTTATTAAAGACAGCCACTCACACATCCAAACACATTCACTTTGAAACATAAATATATATATAGACACATAGGCGGGTAGGTGTCGTTGTTTGCTCAGTACATACAGATGCGCATAATATAATGCAGTTGGCAATAGTAAAAGTGACCGGTAAGTAAATAAGCGCGGTAGTTTTCGAAAATGTGGGCAGCATTTGTGGGCAGACAAATGCCAATTGCCTGTCTAAGTAAATATATGCATAGAGTTAGCTGTTTATTGTTAGTCAATTAGAA